AAAAAAAAAAAAAAAAGAAAGAAGTGAAAACACAAACACAGACACGTTTAATCACTTTACAAATAAAACAATTTCACAACAAAACCTGACACTATTGTGTTCAGGACTCCAGTCCAGAAAGAACAGAGCAGAATAATTACAGGTGAGACTGCGAGTCCCATCACCTGCAGAGAAGAGCATCCATCTTTGAAGTGTCAATATTGCAAACAAAACAAAAATTTTAAACTTATTAACTGGCAGTGTTTGTCGTTGTTGGTTCCAGTAAAGTGTCTCTGACCCTGTTAGCTGTTACAAGTGGACTAAAGTCCATGAAGTGTGGAGCTGATAATGTCCATGAAGGTGGCTTCAATGCAGTAGCAAAGCTGGACATCGGGGTCGGCTCCACCCAGCTCCTCTGCTGCCACCTGAGTTAGAGTCAGTTTGGAGGCGCCTCCTGGAACTACAGACTCCTGAGGCTTCTCTTTCAGATTCTGCAAACCTGGGAGGGGGAAAATATAGGTTTGCATATTTTTACTTCACCAATGAGATATTTCAATTACAACCCATCATTCTTTATATATTTTATTCTGACGACAATTTATTTTTATTAAATGTCATTAAATATCTGTAAAATGTAAATGCCACATTTGACACTTATTTCTCTTCAAGTTAACTTTGTTTTGAAACAAAAGTTTGCAACAAGCTACAACAGTTAGCATGCTCACTGCAGAGACTAAAATAAATACTCAGCTTATGTTCTTAATGTTACATTAGAAACAGCAGAGGAAAATATACTGTAATATGATAAGCACCATTACTTTAGAGCAATAAATAAATGTATTTGGTGTTTCATTTCACACGAGTATCTTATGAAGCTGATAAAGGAAAATGACAAAAAAAAATTTTCTCTCAAAAAAAAAACCTGTTTCTGGGTACAGAACAGGTGGCTCAAACACAAAATAGTATTACACTACATATTAAAAGACAAACTTCAGCTCTTTACTGAACAGCACATGTTTATATAGAGAACTACTCTACATTAAAGAGTAACTTACCCCAAAATTAACTATTTTAGCTGATAAACTGTCTAGAATGTGTCTAAAATGTTATATAGTACTGTTTCTGTGCTAATTTTGATGTTTTTGTGCGTATTTGTTCAAATCTGTAATAGCTAGGCGTTCCAGTGTGTAGCCAGGTTGCGTCATTGCGTCATCGAAGACGCAGCGTCTTCCATATATGGGCATACTTCCGGGAACGGCGGAGCTGCTCCGCTTGGGTGTTTCCCACGTGTGATGGGTCGCTGTGAAAAACGTATCAGTGGTTGCTAGAAAACACACACACACACACACACA